TCCTGGGAAACTAGATCATGACATCTCTGGGCATGGCAAGTTTTTACTATTTTCGTAAGCAAAGGAATCAAGTATCTTTCTCAAAATGGATTATTGAATGTGCTCATGACTGAGAACTCTGCTCTTCCCTGACATCATACAGCAGCTCATCAGACTCACGGAACTTCAGGCAGAACATGGCCTTGCTGCACCGTGCTTTCAGCACAAGACTTTGGTTGCTAGAGAAGCTGAAATCTTATTGTGAAACTGAAGTGTGTCTTTGCCCAGGAAACAGACTCTTTATTCCCTTTTCACGTGACGTGCGCAATGTGACCGCTCAAATAAGAAAGAAATGACCCTAGGGGTTTTGTTCCACCCTGACCAAACAGATTACATGTCGGATGCTTGTTTTTCTTCGTCTTGTCTACCAAAAAATCACAAGGGTAATAAGATTTTGTTCAAGGAAAAGAGAAGAAAGTCGGTTCTGAAGACGTGGCACTAACTGTGACTTCTCAGTGACAGTCGGAGTGTTTGCTAGCGCTGGTGGGACTGGAGATGGCTCTCGGAGATGTTCATTTCAGCTGTTGCACGTTGTAGATGCATCCGCTGTGCTTAGTCATCTACGAGAAAAAGGCAGTGAGGTACTTTGTGATTTTATGAGATGATATAGGTGCCTACATTTAGGTGTCCTGCTGGAAAGCTCCATTTCTTTGTTTTGTGAGGCAATTTTCACCACAGGATGCGTGTCATTTGTTGAAAAAACCCCAAACAAACCCCTGTGTATGTATGAGACTACAATGATAATGCTGAAATGTGTATGGACGACTGGGTTTTGAGAGGATAAATGTACATTTAGCACTTGAGTGGTCTGAAGTTCAGTGAGCTTCTCGCACGGGGGGATCCTGGTCAGTAGCTGAGTCACCTGGCTCTCCATTTGATACTAATAAATAAAACAACACATCACACACTGTTTGCTTGGAGTCCCCGTGCAACAGGCTGGAGCAAGTGCCACGTGCATGCACAGAAAGGGTTCTTGGTGAGGAGCTGGGTGGAGACAGACCCCAGTCCTTTCCTCTGCCTATTGACACGAGTGTTTTGTAAGAGGCACCGAGCTGATTTTCTGACTCAGCCTTTTTACTTCCTTCATCTCAAGTCAAATCTTCGGATCTCTGTATTGTTTGCTGCTTTCCATTCTTCCTCCCTTTTCTTAGTATCCACTGAGAGGCAACTTCTGCTCTTCATGATTTTCGAGTCAACTTTTAGTAGCTGACCTAACGTTTTCTGCCTCGCATTTATGTAGTGAGAGTGCAATTAGATGTGAATACAATCTGTGCGTCCGCACATAGACACAAAAAAACCACCCTTCAGTCCTCTCACTCACCGGACAGACTGATAGAAACATAGATGTCATCAGGCAAACGCAGCTGGAGATCTTTCTTCCTGATCTTGGAGAAAATTTTAGGTCTTGGTAGGCCAAAGGATGAAAAGCTTCAAAGCTTTCATCCCACGAGTGAGTCTCCTTCTCCGCAGTGAGTTGTTTCTTCCTGCACGAGTGTTGCAGCCTCTTCTAGAGGACCTGTCTTGGAGCAGGCGCGTGCAGTAACACGGCTTGCTCACAGTGTGCGTGTGCTTTTAAAGGAGATCTAAGGGCAGGAGTTGGAACAACCGGGCTATCTCTTGACCAAAGAAAGCTGTTGGGGAGGGATGGATTTTATTTGGTTTTAACCATTTGCATGTCCTCTTAGTGATTTTTTTGAGACCCTTGAAGCGCCAGTGGCCAAGCAAGGTAGGCAAGGGCTTTTTCACAAGTATTTACTCCTTGCAGTGAGATGTTCTGTACCTGTAGAAACACACAGTTGCTTCCTTCTTTTTAACATTTGGTTAAACATAATTGTAAAGGGAGGTTTATTTCAAGGCCACAATTTAGCAGGAGACTAAATAGTGAAATATTTTTTCTAGTTTGCTTTCTGCTCCAAGGCAGCTTTAGAAAGGCTGCCAGTGAAAGTTTGCTGAGATTTTTCTGCTAGTGGAAGAAAAGGTCCAAAGTGAAGCAGCGGATGAGTCTGCGCCGTCAGGTGTGAGGGCAGGATGCGAATGAAATGGAAAGACAAAAGATGGGAAGAAGGAAGGAAAGGAGGTCTTTGATTTATTTTAGTTGTCTTTTTCCAAGCGGTACCGAGGCTTCCAGAAGTGGGTTTCTCACCTCCCGGGTGCCGTACGCCCTTTGTGCTGATGCACAACCTCAGAGCAGGCTACCAGCTGCTTAGGCATCCAGGGCTGATGGCACAAACACAGATGACAGCTTTCTCCATCCATCTGCAGTGTTTACAGGCTGTAGCCCGCGTGGGAGAAGAGTGTTGTCTCTGCAGTTTTAAGGGATTTCATCAGGCCCAAGCTGTGTTTGAGGCATCGCGGCGTGAATGAATCACTCTGCTGTTTGGTGCAGTGACCCGACCGAGGAAGCCTGCCTTGCCTCAGATTGCTTCGTGGAGTCAGCCGTGCTGAGCCCTGCCTTGATAAGTGACAGATGCTACCGGGCTAGCACGGTGTGTTGCTGCTTACAGTGTTGAATTTCCTGCAGAACTGGCCTGGCAGAGCATCAGGATCATCTTTCCTGGCTCATTTATCAGGCTCAGACTCCTTCTGTAATGGCATAATTAACAGTCGTAAGCTTCTGCTTCCTATTAGCTGCACGTGCCAAAAACTGCCAAGAGGAGACCCTGTGTCTGCACGGCTTTTCGGCAGTCCTGCATCAGCTGCTGTGTGGCACCAGCTCAGCAAGGCCAAGAAGGAGAAGTTAAAGACTCGGAGCTGCCTTTCTGAAGGACAGAGCACTTGCCCTCTGTCTGATCCTGGTTGTGGAACCACACTGGCTTTTCCTGCCGTGCATCTCTCCAGCCTAGTTGCCCTTAAGCCACCCAGCCCTCACATGCTTCGCTGGCATCTGCAGTCACCGTGCAGGTGTATGTTGTTGCTGATGCTTGGCTGGGACTTGAATACCTCCCCTGAATCCGACACCCATTTTCTGTCGAAGCGTGTGGGTGGCCTGCAGTTGATCTGATCCCAGCAAGGTCTATTTAAAATGGCGAGATGCAAACCTATGGAAAAGATGGCTGTCCTTTCAAAATACTGCATTTAGTCTTGGAAGGAAGTGTAAGGAGGTATATCGATGGCGAACGTTGGCAGTACATGGTGCTCCTCTCTGCCTGCCTGACAGGGTGCACTTCTGAGGAACAGGGACACAGCTGATCCAGCCATCCAGGCTGGAAGGGCACAGGAGCATCCCGGCCACCGGCCCATCTAGTCTCATAGCCAGCCAGCGACCGCAGCCAGTGCCAGAGGCTCCTGAAAAAGATCTTGGAGACCTGGTGGCAGGCAGGTAGGTAGGACAGATTTCCCTCAGAGAGTATGTTTTTCGTGATACCCCAGCAGGGTTTCGGGTCCTTCCCACTGACTATGGCAACCCGGCTTCTTCTAGTGCACATTGGAAGTAAAGAAGTGATTTGTGCTTGTGTTGTTACGATGTGCACATAGTCTGAGTCTAAGTACTGGGTTGTCTCCCAAGAACTAGCTGTGAAACTGGTTACTTGACAGTGACTCTAGACTTTATGCAAAAGAAGGCCAGAAAACCAAACCAAACAACAACAAAAACAAACAGAAAAAATCATGTAGTGCTCAGCAAAATTTTATAGCTTTGTCATTCTTGACACCCATTACATGTTTTAGTAAATTTGTGGTCCGTGAAGTACACCATAGTTGGAAAAGTATCCCACAAAGAGAAGGCTAACTTGGCAAAATAACTGATAGAATAATAAAGTTCAGAAAAGCTCCCAGGAGCCCTGAAGCTTGCAGTCCTCCATGGGTTTGTCTTTAGAGCATCTCTCTGAAGCAAGGCCGTGCTTTGGGGAGGATGTCCTGTGGAGAACTAAGGCAGGGAGGGATTAAAGTCGCGTGAAGGAGAGGAATCAGACTTTCCAAACGTGCTTGTAGTGCTGTAGCTGGTAGATCCTTCTGCTTCTTTGGGTTCTTTAGGCAGTGGTTCTCTAGTCGATCGATAGCAGTACTGAGAGAGGGGAAAGAGCGGTCAGTCTTGGCAAAACGAAAAGTGTGGTGGCAAACAGCAAGAGCTTCTTTTTGAATATTCAACTCTGTATCTTGTGTCACATCATTGCAATTTTTTTGTTTGTCTTTTAACTTTTGGAGCTATTCAGAAAACTGTCAAGACAAAATGTGTTTGAAATGAGACAATTTGCATGCTGCAGATAAATAATCTGAAGGCTGTATTCAGTCAACCCCAGCCCATTTAGGTAGAGTCTTCCATAGCCCTGTGCCTTTCAGTGGCTCCTGGCGTGGAACATACCAGCTTCGTGGCAG